GCACGCTGTCCTCCGGTGGACGGTGCCTGCCTTTGAGGAGCGCTGGGCCCTCGAGGGGGCGCTCTGCCGAGTCGAGGCAGGGCACCTGCTCCTCGCCCTGTAACCCCCCCGGCTGCTCAAGCTGCGGCAATGCGTCCAGCGGGCCGAGGCCTTGGACTTTGCTTCACTCGGGTCGAGCCCTGAGGCCCCCCATGGGTGTCCCCGCTGGCAGAAATGTGAATATGTAGTCCTTTGACTCGCTATGGTTTTTTTTTAATCTAGAGTGTACGGGCAGGCCTTGCAGGCCATGAGCCCAGGCCTTGTCCGTGAGGCCCAGGTATTTGGGCCAACCTGTACATGCTCTTTACTGGCCCCGAGTTGTCACCCTCCCTGGAATAAATGCCTCTTAAAAGTCAAAAGTCTGTCTGTCTGTCTCCCCCCCCCTCCCACACACACACACACCCTGTGCATGAAAGGGTTCAGTAACTGGAAGGCTACCTCAGTTTAGTTCTTATTTCCAAGATCTCTCTCTCTCTGTCTTTCCAGAATGGCTGAGTGGGTGAAGCAGCAAGCAGAGCGGGAAGCTGAAAAAGAACAAAGACGCTTGGAAAGGCTGCAGCGTAAACTTGCAGAACCAAAACACTTCTTTGTTAATTCGGATTACCAACAGCAGTGTAATGAAATGGCTGAGCGGCTAGAGGATTCGGTACTTAAAGGTATTGCTGAGGAACTGATATGTTTATCAATAGATATAGAATTATTTTCAGTTGGCACCTAAATTAAAGTATGGCTCGAAGTGACTTTTGTGATACATGGTTATTGATATATCTTGGACTAGGCAGTACCATTTTCATTTGGGTGAGGTGCACTTGGTTTTACTAAAATTTGGTCTAATTTAATTTTTTCTTCCTGAAATAGCTTTGTTAGAATATTGTGAGACACTAGAACACAGATGCAAGTAATAAATCATCCTTATGCTTAAAGTAATCTGTAGTTACATTCTGCACTTGTGACAGTGACATTAAGAATCATCTTAAAACAATGATAAGTGCTAATCTATAAGAATCAACTTTAGCTTTAAAGGACTGTGTATAGCTTAAAGGACTGTGCATAAACAATATACAGAAAACAGGAGAAACTGAGTATAACATAATAAAATATTTTGATTTGCATACCCACTCTCTTGGGCTATTTTACTTGGCCACTATATTACCCTGGTGGCAGTCTTGACATACAGGCCAGTAATTGACTGGGGCATAAGAGAGCCGGTTCAGAAGTGGTCACTCTAATTCAGGGTCAACTCTGTAGAGCTGCAGACCAATAAGGGTTTCTACTACTGTTGAACTGAAGACAAATTCGGAAAATAACTAGAATCTTAGAGCATCCGGTTCTCTAGGAAGCTTTGTTTTAAATCTTCTTCCCCTGTGGACTTGGGAGTATCATAGTATGTAGGTTACTATGGTTCTACAAGGCAACTCCATTTTTAACTTTGCATTGAAGGGATGCAGGCCTCCTCCAGTAAGATGGTGTCTCCAGAGACCAGTGATAGTCGGAAGCGCCCAAATGAGCCTGAAAAGAGCGGAGCAAAATCTGAGAAAAGGAAATGTTTGTGGTAAGTGCAGTGCCCTGATCCACTTGGTAAGGGAGAAGGAAGTTAAGAGTAAAGGATTAGTTTTTCTTTTAAGATGCAGCCTATCAGAAAATCTACCAGGAACTTCTGGCACAGAATTGTGACGGTTCCAAAAGGCAGGGTAGAACCCAGATCATTTGCATCTATGTGCAACCTACTTCATTAGCAGAGAGTTGCTGAATTTAAGAATAGCTCATTGGTTGGTTATAGCTTTTACCTCAGGGTGCTGCTTCTCGTATCACTCAGAGCTTGTTTGCAGTTCTGCACAGCTAACTGGCAGGGTGGCATCCTTTTGAAGGAAAAATGCCTCGACAGTCCCTCACAGGTCTTTGTTGCAGCTCTATATGCCCTTTTCAAGCTCTCTTCTTCATAAGGGGGGTAAGGAAAGTAACCCTTTGAAGTATCTAGGTTCTAATGTAATACATAGAACAAGTCAAAGCAGTGGCAGGAGTTTTGCCTCATCCCCACTTCCTGTCTTAACCACATACCTGGATGTAGAGTAGTAGAGGTTTCTTTTTCCTATCACTATTCCTCTGTCTAAATACACTGGGTCCCTTCTATTTCCTGTAGTATGTAGCTTGAGAATTGACTTCTCAGTCTCCCAGTCTGGTTGTCTTTCTCATAGTGGGTATAGCATATGCACTGTTCCATTCTTTAACCAGATGGGATGTTCAATTCCACTATTTAAGACAGCAAGCTAAGATGGTTACTGGCAGAATAAAGATGTCAGCACAGCAATAGTTTGCTTTGTGGGAGTGATGGATTCATCTATTGGGGATTCTTTGGGAAGTATGATTGCTTTGGATCATACACAACAATAGTGACTTCTGGCTTGCTCAGCATGGGAGTCCAGCTGATGTGGGGTCCAGACTATAACCCCTCCTTGCTATATTAGTATGGTGAGGCTCCTTAGGGAATCGGACACTTGAAGTTAGGTCACTTTCTTAGTTTAAAATACCTTAACTGGAGCACTTGTTTATGACAGGATGGGATTGGAAGGACTGGAGGATCCTGAGAGCACAGATGACAGTGATAGTGAAGATAATTATCCTAGTACAGCAGAAGGCAGTTGCCACTCAAGCAGCAGCCACATTGAAAAGACTGAAAGCACAGTTGAGTGGCCTAGTAGTTCAGAGGATTCACTAGAATGCAGCTCGACCACCAATATTTCCGAGAAACCACAAGAGCAGGCAGAAGATGCTGAAAAAGATCTACCAGAGGAGGTACCCACAGAGGAGCAGATTGCAATTCCAACTGATGAAAAAAATGACACACAAGAGAACCTGAAAGAAGAGGAGCAAGAAAAAGTTTCAACTACTCAAGAGGAAATAATTCCATTACAGAGCACGGTAAGCAACACCATGGAAATCTAGATGCTATTGCCTCCTTTCTTGCTTTACCCCATCTGTTTTTTAGATCACTTTTTTTCCCTATTATCTACTGACTGAATAGACTGACTTCCGTTAATGTAAAGTCAGTGTTTTGGAGTCTAAAAATCCCCTTGCCTTAACAGTTGCTCAAGATGCACACTTTCTGCCTATGAATGCATGCTTTATAGCTCCTTATAGTGGTTCAGACACACTGTCACTTCGTGTCCCATTTTAAAATGTTAGAGTTTAGCATGTACAAGATCATAATCCATATTCAGAAATTTTATTTTGTAGTTGGAGGCAGAGATCAAAGTGCAATTGGAATTCTTACTTCAGTAATTCTGTTCTTGGCTAGCTAGTCTTCCTCCTCCTTTTCTTTCCCTCATGGACTGAGGCACTCCTGTGTCCTTCATGTGCAGCCAGTTTTTTCCCCCTCCCTATTTTGTGTAGAAAGTTCTGTGTCAGTATGATGCAGTTACTTCATGGGATGAGCAAGTTTTGCACTCACTATTGTACCAATAATTGAAGTTGCATTAGGCTTGTTCACCTTGTGTGTAGTGTAGCTTGACTTAATTAGCCTCCTTGAGGATGAATAATAAAGTTAAAGCCCTAAAAGATCAACTCCTATATGGTGCAGACAAAACTATCAGAATTCCCTTCTATTGGTTTCCTTTTTAAATTAAACACTTTAATCCAGGCTGTCCAAAAATTGCACTGATCTGGCTCAAACTGCAGCTCTCATTTGGGGAATGAGATTCTGCTGCTGCATATCTGACAGTAAGAGCTTCGGGGTGAGAAGGGCAATGATATGTGATGTGTCTGAGTTTTTACAAATGCAGGTAGAAAAGCAGATCTAAAGGAAAATTACCCATTACCTCAACAGTGGAGTAACTTCCCTACTGATGTTGGAATGAATTGCCCCACTGGGGTTGAGCAATTAATTGTCATTCATGAAGCTTGCTCAACTGCTGCTGAGAGTATTCTGCTTTAAATTAAATTACCTCTTGGACAAGTGCATTGCTTTGACTGTAGACTTATCACCTCTTACATGAGAAGCCTGAGTTGGCTCTAAGCAATAAAAACCTGATTTTTTTTTTTTCTCGATATTGAGCACACCAGCACTAAATAAATAAGTGTCAACAATAATGGCACCCACTTGCCCATCGCTTGTGGAGTGTTATTACATGCTCAGTGTTGTTTGGAACATTGAGATCTGTCGGCATAACAAAATGCCAATCCCTGAGTGACTCAGATTCTGTGCCCCATTTGACTTGAGTGAGGAGTCTGTCACTGTAATGTTTTTTTGAAAGCATTTCTTTTTCATTGTGTAGAAACTTGTAAGTTTCTATGGTTGGAAACCCTGTTTTCCATTTACTGAATGTTGATAATTGGTAAATAGGGGTGCACTGATTTAAAGACTTTCCTGGCTGATATCCATAGCTGATTTATTAATGAGGCATATCGGACGAAACCAATCCAATAGCCGATTTATAGGAATGCAGCTGAGCAGCATGGAGAGCAGGGCCCTGCAGGTAAGTCTGTGAAGGGGAAAAGGTGGGGGAATGTGAGATTCTGTCTGGTTTCTCACCTAATTACTTACAATTAAAGGTGACTGAAAAATGCTAATTTATTTTTTTTTCCCAAGAAAACATTAAACAATTTTCTTTTTATTTACATTTTCTGCTGGCAAAAAATAAAAATAAAAAAAAAAAAAAAAAAAAAAGGTGGTGGCAATGTTTAAAGTAAAGCTCGTCAAATAAACTTCAGTTCAAGTGCTGCTGCCACCATTTTTAAGCGCAAAGACACTTTTAACCAGAATGGGGTGGGGTGAGGGCAGATGCCTGCTCAGGGCTCTCCTCTGCTGCCTTTTAGGAGCAGAGCAGAACAGAGTGAGGGCAGAGGTCCATTGCAGGCTCAGGGCTTTTGCCCTGGGAGCTGCACGCTGGCTGCAGCTCCCAGGGCGGCTAGAGGAACAACTCGCCACCCCCACTGCCACCTGGCTGGTAGGGGACGCATGGCCAGTGCGCTGCTTCCATGACAAAGGCAGCAGGGTGGAGAGCCCTGAGCCTGCAGCGGGTAGCCTGCCTCTGCCCTGTGTACAGATCTGGTGGGGTACACGCCCCCCCCCAGTGCCTCCCCTGGGGGTATGTGCAGCAGCCCCTGTGCCCCTGGATGAGACTCCCATGGCTCCTTGTCCTGGCCCCAGAGTCCCATTCACTGCCCTGGCTGGGCAGCACTCCCACCCAGCCCCTGCCCCACTCCCTCGTTGTGGGGGGGCCTTTGATCTTGCTACCCCTTCCCCTCCACAGGCTTGCCTGCAGGGCACTGCTCTGTATGCTGCCTGGCTGCATTCCTGGCCCTGGGCATGCATGCGCACAGCTGCAGCATTCAGAGACCCTGGCCAGAAGACCTATTATATTTATTGGTACATTATTGGCTATACTCGCTAAAAAAGCCAGTAGCTGATGATGTTAATTTTCCTTTTATCAGTGCTGATCTGATGTGGCACCAATGTATTGGTGCACCTCTATTGGTAAATGAGCGAACAAGCATTTAAAATGGGGAAGTAGTGTGAAATGTAGTTCAGTCAGTTGAAACATAGTGTACACTGTACTATAAGTGGGCAGTATTTTCAACTGGATGTTTATCACCAGGCAGTGTTTACCTTTCAGACAGTACTTGCAACGTTTCCTATTCCTGGGACAGGAAACTCCACCAAAACCACAATTAATTGTTATTGCAGGTGGTAAGTGGCTCTTATAACTGCTTACTGCCTTTTTAGTTTAAAGTAGTGACTGTGTGTAGTAATGAGACCTTATTAAAGTTCCTCTCTGCTAAGAAAGAGCACTTTTAAATATATGCATGTCTTGGTAGGGTGCTGTACTCGGAAATAACAGCACTGATACAGCAAGCACTTAATGCTGAATGTAGGGTTCGTGACTGAGCAGTCTCATTCCCATCCCTGGGACTATCCCTTTTGGTAATTCTAACACGGTAGATCTGTGTTGCAAGAAATGATTCCTCCCCACCCCTGATTTTCTTGAGATGCTGTTCAATAGATAACAGAAGTGGAAGATACCTAATTTCTTTGTTTAGAGTGCATTTATAATTTGCATCACTTCTGCTTTTTCCTTCTTTGTCAAACTGAGAAGCATCTCTGGAAGCTTAGCATCCCCTAAGCATTTTCTTAAAAAAGTAAAATATCTGCTATTCCTGTACTTCCACGATTAACTGCATAGAAGTGTGTGGTGCCCATCTGTTTTCCCTGTCACTAATGGGGAAATGCTTAACTTTGAAAGTAGCCAAGGTAAATTTAATTGACTTCACAGTTAAGAGCTGGTAGCTTTGTCACACCCAGTTCATGACTTGTGCAATGTAAGAATGAGGCATTGAATCATCAGGTGTTTTCAGTTCTCTTAAATACTTTATGAACACACAGTTCTTAACTTCATGTAGCAGAGATCCCAAAGTTTGAGAGAGGACAGGTGGAACTACCTTATCTATTATTTTCCAACAGAGGAAGAGATGGGTTTGGCTTGGTTACTTTCTTTATTTCAGGCTCTTTTTGTGAGTCCTCATAGGCACAATGCATTTTACCTTGATCACCAGTTTGGTCTGTAGGCCATTGCCTATGGGGTTAGAAATCCATCTGACTTCCAACAAAATGATCTTTTAACTTATACCTGAAGGTGCGTCTACAGTACAGTCATAGTTTTTATTGCCGCTTAGACAGATATCGGAGCTGGCTTTAAGCTATTTATTCACGGTAATGCTAGCATGTAGCTGTGGTGGCATGGCACTTAGTATGGGCTGCAAAACCATCAGCATACTTACTAGTCTTCTCAGGCAGGTTTGCAGCCTGTGCTGATCTGTGTGCTGCTACAGCTACGCAGCCTAGCTCAGGTATGTCTCCAGGTTGCAGTTGCAGCTTGACTGCAGTGTAGACATAGTGTAACTATGGAAATGCCCAGCATGCTATACCTGGAGACTGTATAACTGTGTTATCACACTTTGAAAGTGTTTAGCTGTATGTTCTGTAAAAGTGAAATCTAGTTGGAGACTAAATAAGTGTAAGCCAAAAGAGGCACTAAGTCTTTTTTTTTTTTTCCCAAAATGGTAATGAAAGGATTGTGTATTCTTGTCTTTGCAGAAGTCTACGCCAATAGATCTTCTGGCATTCAACTCTGCTACTGAAATGGAAGCTCTAGGATTAGATAAACTGAAGTTTGAACTGATGGCTCTGGGCCTGAAATGTGGAGGCACTTTACAGGAAAGAGCAGCAAGACTTTTCTCTGTGAGAGGTCTGCCTAAAGACCAGATTGATCCTGCCTTATTTGCAAAGCCTTCTAAAGGGAGAAAGAAATAAGTGTTGGCGTTTTTACACTCTCTCTCTCTCTCTCCACACCTGAGGGGTTTTTTTGTTCTATTGTCACTCTTTTTAACTAGCTACCTGCACTACTTTGGCATCTGTAGGTAGTTTCTGTTTTTTCTAACTGGAGTTTAAATAATGTAATACACAGAATAAATTGCTAGATAAAAAACAAAAAACTAGTGTGTGCTAAATATTAAAGGTAGCAAAGCACAAAGATGGGAAATTGTGAAGACTTTTTGTAAATAAAAGAACATACAGTGTCCATGGATGCTTGGGGAAAAATTGTGCGCTTTATAGAAAAATGGTGTGTTTTTTTATATATAAGTTGTGTGATGAGAATATTGAAATAAATGAATACAGGATTGCTTATCTGCACTCTAGGTACTCCCTTCTAGATAAAGAAACCATAGTTTTAAAATATGGTTCAGGTTGAATAGCTGAAGCTTAATTTTTTTGAGGGGAGGGAAGATATTTTGTATGGGGAATTTCAAATATGGATTAGGTGTACTATTATGTATGTTGCCTTGGTGTTGTCTAATATTGGTATACCATGATTCTCTGTACATGTATGTAAATATACATGTTCAGTATCTGAAATGTTTATTAAAGGAATATTTACTTATTTAACTCTAGAGAATAGTCTGCATTCAGGGAAAGGAAAAGATGTGATAATCTTTCTAGAAATAAATCTGTGAAGGAAGACTATTTACCCAGAAGATAAAGGTGCCATGGTCTGAAGTTGAATGAGAATTTAAAGGATTATCTTTTTCCCTTTTACTCTGGCCCTCCAGGGAGTTGAAGCACTGTTTCATATGCAACACTCCTGGGTATCCTGAAGTGAGTGGAGGTAGATGTTGCAAGTGATCCTGCAGAACTGCAAAGCTCAGATACAAAGCAGTGGTTTATGATTTCAGTTTCCATTGCACTGGGTGGGAGGCATAGGTAAAGGTGGTGCTCAGTTCAGTACCACAGATTTTTTTTTTTTTTATTTCTGTCCCCAGAAAAAAAAATCTTTTTCTATTACTTTTATTTAGCTTTTGCTAGCAGAGCAATTGAAGCAAAAAAAATCCTTTGTTGTATACAGTGGAATTGCAGTATGAGATCATTTGGCATTAGGACAAATGCCAAGGTACAGTGAGGTACAGCAGACATTGTATAGCAACTGTCCCTGCACTTGCTCTTAGCCCAAAGTAAATGAAAGCTAAACTGTGGAGCTTAGCCTTGTTTCACTTTGGCTTCACTTTTACTTACTGTGAGATAATAGTAGGTACAGGGACAGCTTCCATGTCCATAGCTGCCCCCTTTTAACTCACTTAAAACAGGACTGGTGATTTCCACAAAGCAAAGCTGCTAGCAACTTTGGACTCAGTCAGCTTGTAGCCTGAAAGAATGGTATTCCTAGAAGATGTTTTCCTCTTTCAAGTTAAGCAAAAAAATTTGAGGAGGTATAGAGGTGCATTAGAAAAATGAGAAGAGGGAGCTCTTTCCTCCTGTTTACCTGCAGCTTCCCTACAGTCGGATTTGCCTTGGGATCCATACCTGGGAACTAGAGTAAACGCTGTGAAAAATAAGAATCATCTGCTGGGCAACCAATTTACTTTGCATCAAGCAGATTGCGTTGGAATCCTACATCCCCATACTTCACTTCCTGTTTTCACAAAACAGAATCATAGGTAACCAATCTCTATAGTCTAGCAATAGCCCTTATGTTGTCTACAATCATACATAATGTAACTCTAGCAAAGTAGGCTGCCTACCTCTAGGATTAAAACATGGAGCAGAATCAGGCTCTCTTCCTGACATTGCTACTGCTTTTTACATGTCAAGATGTGCAAACCTCTGAGTCTTCATTAAATATAAAAGTAGAAAAGGAGATAATTTATGGTGTTGTGATGCTTAGTAAACACTGGTAGCACTTCAAAGGACCTTTTTTTAAAAGCTAATTTCCAACTAAATATATTTTCAATACTAAGTGTAGGGTTGAAAACGGTCACTTTCATTATCTTACCCCTGCTATTTTCCAGGAAGGAATGAGATTTCCTAGTCACTTGCTTCCTCCCTTCTCCAGTCTTAAATTTTAGATGAGTTTGGCATACTCTAGATTGTAAAGTGTAGCAGAAAGGGAACAATGCTGGAGTCAGTTTCCTGACGGCTCACTCCCTCCAGAGTTTAAAGGAGTTTCTGGAATGGTGTTCTTCCTTACTAAGTTGTTAATTGCCTCCTCTTTATTTCTAGAAGCCAGGTTTTAAACTGTAACTGCTGGTGTTGGCAGTCCCAGCCATGTTGTTTTGCAGTCAGTGCCAATGGGACTCTTCTTGCTCACTTATATTTATTTATTATCCAAGCTGAGTGAGTAATTCCTGGCTAGTGGCACTACTTACCCTAGCATGGTGGAAGGACATGTTATAACATTGCAGGTACCCTATTTGTATTGTAATACCTCTTGATCCTGCCTATGCAGATGGAACTAAACAGTGTTTTAATTAGATATATAGTTTGAGTTACTACCCTGGAAAAGCCATGACATGGAGACAATTGGATGTCATAATTGGCACGGGCAAAACAACCACAATGTAGTATAACTATAAAGCTACCATTTGTAATATAAAAGCAAGTCCGGGGAAGGGTTTCCCAGGAAATAAATCTAGTTGAGGTAATCTGTTCCCAGAATAGTATCCAAAATAATTAAAAAAAAAAAATAAAAATTAAGGAAGTAGGGCTGAGGTGGAGGAATGACAGTAAATTGAAAGGTTCTCCTCTGTTCCAGTGTTTAGTATTTTGTTAATAGGGGTGGAAAAAGCAGTAGTGCACTGTCTCCAGTGGATCTGGGGGGTATGCAGTCATGTAGATGCACCCTCACCTTCTACCACTGCTGTCTGTGGTTGATCTGGGGATGGGTAGCTCCAGAGCTGCTCCTGCCCTGCTCTAGCCACAACTGCAGCTGTGCTGGGTGCCAGGCTTGACTGGAGACAGTGGTGGCACCACAGGTTTCTCTCTTGAGGGTCTGTTCCTTGCCCATTCCACCCCCACCCAGATGTGCCTTCTCCCAGCCAGCAAGGGACTGGAAAGAGGAACCTGAACACTGCTACCACTGTCCCTGGCTAATGCAGGAACATGGGGGAGCCCCAGAGTCACTCCTGACCTGTGCTGCAGGGAGTGGCTGCATGGGGAGCTGGGTTCAGGCTGGGACAGCAGCAGTGGCACAGATTCTGCTTTCCAGCAACTAATCCAGGCTGGTGGGGGACACCAAGGGTATAGGGTTACCATATTTCCAGTTTCAAAGAAGACACTTGGGGGAGGGAAGGGAGAGGGAGATGGGATATATGATTAGGGGGGCAGTGATATACCTGTGCCCTGCCCCTGCCCCTCACTCCCAAGCCACAGCCTCCCCAGCCCTGCTGCTGCCCCTCACTCCTGACCCACAGTGCCCTGCCCCCCAGACCACGCTGGTGCCCCTCATTCCCAACCCACAGCCCCCCTGTCCCTGCTGATATCCCTCACTCCCGATCACCCCCTTCCCCCGCCTCCCCACCCTGCTGCAGCCCCAGCACCAGCAGGCACACGCACATGCATGTACACACACAGACTTACCAGCCTGCAGCTGCTGGGGCCCATGCACGGAGCACGTGATGCCTCAGCCTCCAAGTACCTTCCCCTGCTTCCCCCAGCCCCAAGCAGCTCCTTGCTGGGGCAAGCTGGGAAGTACAGGGAAAGCAGAGTAAAATCCCAGACATTTGCTGATAGTTAAAGAAATTGCCTGGAAGGAGATGGGAGGACCCATAAAGAGGACATGTCCAGGAATAACCTGATGTAACCCTAAAAGATAGGGAGAGGTGAGGGGGGGAAGGCAGCAGAGAGCAGGCGCCAGAAGGAAGCAACCATGTACTGTTGCCACTGTCCTTGGCAAAGCCCAGCTTCCTGTGCAGCAGCTCCCCACTGCCCCTGGGTGAAGTGGGGCAGGAACAGCTCTGCTGCCTTGTCCCCATCTCCAGGTCAGCTAGGGACAGCAACAGCATACCTGCTGCCTGCCTAGTTCCTAGGTATCCCACACCAAGGGCTCCAGCCACCAACTTGCCTTGCCTCCCATCCCCCCATGGTGTGAGGAGCAGCGTGTTGCACCCCCTTTATCCTGGATCCATCCATGCACCATATGTAAAGAAATCAAAAAGAATATAACTATAGCATGGTCTTTAACATGTACTAATCTAGCCACGGGTTGGTAACATACCCACCTTTACTATGGTAATGTCTTCACTGCAGAGCTGGGCTCTTAAACAGCTCTTCCTCTCTGCCGTGCAAACAGCAGACTCACTCAGCTGTGAGCACACGGCTCTTCTTGTGGCGCATGCAATCTGAATTTCCCTTGCTGCATGTGCAGTATTCTTCTGCCACCTGGCCCCACCTTGCCATTACCCAGAAGCAGAGCCCAGAAGCAGAAGTGGGAGGATGGTCACGCTGGCCACCTACGCTATCAGAGCAGTGGGGACAGTGGCAGCCAGGTGGGAGCCTGGGGGCTGTATTTTAACCAATCAGAGGCTGTATGTAGTCTGCATGCCACCAGCTGGGCTGAAGTATGAGCACTGCTTACCCTTGGGCTGGTAACTTTCCCACTTTGCAGTACTATAGCATATGTTCTGATGCAGGCTAGGCCTGTATAGGTGTTAGTTAGTTAGATCTGTATAGGTGTTGTATAGGCTAGGTGTTCCTGTGATGCCTTCTAACCCTTCCTTTTGTGTTTCCAGAGAGACAGACAAGAACACCAACAATGCAATAGGGGAAAAAAATAAAGAGTGGCGTAGCTTGTTGCAGAGCTAAGCACCACAGAGGATACCCTAAGGAGATGAAGCCCTTACCAGGACTCAGGATAGTACTGCTGTGACTGCAGCCCAGTGTGTGTGCTTAGATATGATTTTGTAGTGTGGACACTTGCCCCTGTGCTAGGCCAACCTGGGTCATCCACGCAAGTTACCTGCAGTGAGGGCCTGCTGCTTCTCTTGCTCTCGGGTGAGGGAAAGTCCTGCTGTATCACTTGCTTGTTAAAGCAAGTGGAATATGGCAGTACTGCCTAAAAACTATTTAGAGCTGGAAATGGAGTGGGAGTGTGCCCGATGCCTACGATATGCTTGGGAGAGTGAAGAGCCGGTGCCGATCGACCGGTTCCCTCCCCTCGTGGTGTCTAGATTAAGGGGTCGCGAGCTTCCATCCGAGCTCCGTGAAGATCTGGAGACAGAGAGACGTGCCGCAGATGAGAGAGCGGCCCCACAATACGACAAGGGGGGAGTACTAACTGCAGCTTTTCGTACAATAACTGATTTAATGCAAAAGAATTTAAGTTTAAAAGCCCAGCTGCGTATGGCTGTTCAGGCGGTCAAAGAAGCGGCTGAGAGAAGGGATCCTGAGACGCCACGACAAGATGGCGCCGAGCAAGAGGGAGACCACATGGAAGAACCAGAAAAGAAGGGTGGAGCTTCGGAGGAACCTGCGAGAGTTCGGTCAGCGACTCCGCCCACTGACGCAGCGTCGTCTCCGGCAACCCCACCTAGTGACGCGGCGACGCCTCTGCCGACCACGCCTTCCTGCCGACGGAAGAGAGAGTCAAGCGGAGGAGTGCATCCACCCCTCCTGCCTGAAGCAGTAACAGCAACCGGGCATCCCGCAG